TCCTGGGGCATCAGTGAGTAGGAGACAAATGGAAGCTAATTTAAGATTTCCCTGCCTGTGCCCTAGCTGACTTATGCAGCAGGCCCACACACTTCAGGGAGAGCAGATCAGAATCTGAAACCACTAACCAAGCTAATTCCTAGAACATTCATTCAACAAATGTTTACGGAGCGCCTTTTATGGGCAACACATCAGCTGGCTTTTGGTTCGCTTTGGTTTTTTAGTTTGGTTTTGCTAGGGGTAGTGGGGGAGATACAAAGAGGAGTTAACACAGTCCTCAAGGTGCTTGAAATCTAGTAAGGGGGTGCAGCTAGGCGGCACAGTGGATACAGCTTCAGTCTTGGAGTCAGGAGGACCTGAGTTCAAATCCAGCCTCAGACATTTGACACTTACTAGCTGTGTGACCACGGGGCAAGTCACTTAACCCAGACTGCCTCACCAAAATACAAAAAGAAAAAGAAAAAAATATGTAAATCTATATATATATATATATATATATATAGAGAGAGAGAGAGAGAGAGAAGAGAGAGAGAGAAGAGACAGACAGAGAGAGAGAGAGAGAGAGAGAGAGAGAGAGAGAGAGAGAGAGAGAGAGAGAAAGGGAGAAAAACTTGTAAAGAAACCACTCCAGGCAGAAAACTGGTAACTGTTAGCTCCATCTTAGCCAGACTACAGGGTCCTCTTTTCTTAAAAAGAGGTATACAAGCCTATATCAGATTGTGTGCCATTTTGGGGAGGGTGGTGAGAAGGAAGAGGGAGAAAATTTTAAACCCAAAAGCATATGGAAGTGATCATTGATAAATCAAAATAAATTAAATAATTTTTTTTAAAAAAGAGGTATACAAATAACCACAATCTAAGGTAGGATTGTGCCATGAAGAGACATATAAATGGCACCTGAAGGAGTTAAGACTTGGAAGAGAGAGCTTTTCTCATTGAGGTGAATAGGAAAGGCTTCATAGAGGAGGCAGCGTTTAAACTGGGCCTCGAACTGAAGAAATCTTTATAGATCATCTCTCCTGTAATTGCCTGATAGGAAAAAAACACATATCTAAAGTTGGTAGTGACGTCTGTACAAACTATTCAGTGACTGTCTTACAACCCAAGCAAACACAGAATCAAGCAAAAGACTGAACAGTCAACAACTTCAGATAAGTACATGCTTCTCTTTTCAAAGGGCTCGGATCCACTGCCTCTTCCAGGGTAAAACACAGGGCAGATACCAAATGTTTCTAAGTGATCAGTACAAAATTTCTACTTGCTTTTCAAAGAGTTAAGATTAAAATTCATATCCACAAAAACATTTTAAAATGAAATTCAAAGGACATGCACCTCCCTCCCATACATGCCAGGTTTACCCCAACAATAAGTAAATTATCTATTTCCTGGTTTTCCTTTTGTTTTGGAGAACCTAGAGACCAAGGCCCTACAACTGCTGGAGTTTGTTTATATACTTATATGTGTGGTTTTTAATAACTGTTACCCAGATGCACAAGCCAAGTCTTCAAGTCTCTTTCCAAGTCTTTTCACCTACAACTATTAGCAAATAACATTTTCTAAAGCCCAAGCTTAGATGACACCCTCCTTCAGGAAGCATTGTCTGAATGCTCTTACAAAGAAAAGATATCACAACAAACTCAATTCAGTATCAATTAAGGGTCTACTATATGCAAGGCACAGATTTCTCCACCCCTAAATTTCTCATACAACTTCATTTAGATCAATATCTAAAATCAAGTTCTAATGTCATAGTTTTTCATTTAGTAGTGTAAATGTGATCTTCCACACTTGACTGTAAACTTGAGGGTAGGGCCTGTGCTTTACCTTTACTTCTTCCTTTTTCCTAAGGAAAAAAGGCTTGGAAGCAGCTAGGTCATCCACTGGATAGAGTGCTGGGCCTGAAGTCAGGAAGACTAAATTCAAATCTGGATTCAGACCCTGCATTAACATCGCTGCCTCAGTTTCCTCATCTCTAAAAGTCATAATAATAGTACGTCCCTCCCAAGGATGTTATTAGGATTGAATGAGATAATATCTATGAAGCACTTACACATAACAGGTGCTTAATAATGTGTTTCCTTCTTTCCTTATTATTGACTATTTGTTGAACTGAATTCTGTGGCAATGCTCATCACCATCTTTTATACCAGAGGAGACAGAAAATTAAGAATATCTCCCTCCCTTCTCTGCAGTGGTCAGAGACTATGTGAAGTACTACACAATACATGATATCAATGTCAGCTTCAGCTGATCAACTGTCAGTTCTACTCTTTTTTTTAATCTTTTAGACATTTTTGAAAATGAAAGTGATGTAAAGACAAAGCACATCCAAAAAATATTTTAAAGAATAAATGCTACCATTGCTGAGTGGAAGCTGAATTTAAGTTTGGACTAAAAGACAGTGCCTAATCAAGACTTCAGAAGACTGGCAGTGAGGTTTGCCTCCTCTTGGCAGAGAAAGACCGCAGACTACAAGGAGAGAATAAGGCTCAAGTTATCAGGCCAGGCCAATGTGTTTATTTGCCTTGCTTAACTGTACTTCTGTAATAAGATAGAGAAGGAGGAAAGATTCATTAGGAAGTAATGTAAAAGAGAATGTCATTTTTTAAAACTCCAAATAAAAATTCGTCTAAGGAACAAAACAAAATAAATTCAAAATTCAACACAACCTGTTACACAGAATCACATTAGGCAAAATGAATATTTTAACGAAAACTTCAAAACCATGTCTGACCCTAGTGACCACTGACACAAAGCTGATAACACATTTAAATAAAGTTGTGATACAATACGATAAACCTAAAAGACTACAATTACCTTAACCCTCCGATTAAGATGATCCAGATGATCCCAATAAGTTATGGGATGTAACCCGCACCCTAAATTAAAAATAGTATCCTGACAACATATGGTATATACACAAGCTGGCCATTTCTGATGAGTGAAACAGGTTAGGTGGCCAGGCTAGCAGCCTCACCCGTACAGCCAGGTTAAGACAATGATGTACAGTGTGTTAGATAAAGTTAGGACTTCCTAGTTTCACAAGGCCACAGAACCCTCTTAAGAAGCCTCACAGGGTACTAAGTCCACAGTTTTATTTACATCACTAATGAATTCTCTACAGTTGTTTCTAGGAAAGTTGCCTCAACTGCTGACTAGTTAGAACTACCTAGGACACCACCAGCACAGATAAGATTTCGACACCTCATCTATAGAATGGCCTGCTGTCATTCCAGAGAACCATTTAGGGGCAAAAACCTGCTTCTCAGGGAAGGGGGGTGGGGTGGGGAACTAGCAGACAGTTGGAGGAAGGGAGGCAGCACAAATAAGGGCAATGAAATTTCCAAGCTTACCTGATGGCGTTAAACAAGTCTCCAGCAGGAAAGAAAGCAGCATTCCTTCCTAGTTAGTCTCTACTCACACTCTCCCCACCCCCTCCACCATCACCCCAAAGGCAAAAGCTAAGTATGCCCTTTCTGGACAAGCAGCCAAACCCCTCTTTGTATAAGAGAGGGTAGGGAGGAACAGGCCATATTCTCTGTTTTCAGAATCCCACTTAAAAATTTGGAATAACACACTCTAGCCCTACACTCTTCTTCCTGAAAGGCATGGGACCCCCAGAAGCCAAAGCCTACCTGGTCTCCCTCAGTGAAGAAGAGCCTTAAATTCCCTAGGAAGAAAGTTGGGGGTGGAAGGGAGGTACAGAACTAACCCTGTGAATTTCTACTGGAGGGAGGTAGGCACAAAGACAAGGGGGCCTATTTAATGAGCCTAAAGACAACCCGAGGCCCAGACCACAGCATTCTCTACCTTGCCTTAAATTTTGGGCAGAAGCAGAAAATGTCCCTGAAAATCTGGGAATACACAGAAGAGGATTTCTGATCCTTTATTTAAGTGAAGGACTTTTTAAAAAGGAAGAGCAAATAAATACACAGGGGTGGAAAGCCGGGTCAGCAAAGGGCAGGGATTGGGGACCTGGGGTTAGGACAATCCAAAGGTAAGCTAGCACCCACCTGGCTTCCCTTAAAGAAACATTCCCTAAGAAGGGGAGCAAGAGGCACCTCTGAAAGCAACCAAAGGGAAACTGCACCCCTTCACCCTATGGATCTTGGGGGGGACCACAACAAGGATGAGAACTGGATTCGATGCAATAGAAGAGAAATGATCCACAAACCCCACTGACCCCACCCACCCGCAACCCACCTCTGCTCAGCTGTGCACTGCTGCAGCCCTTAAGTGCCAGGTCCCTGAGAAACATATGGCTGAAAGTGGGGTTAGAAACGAGAAAGGGGAGCCCCCTTCCTCCATCCACACTGTCCCAGAACTGAGCTAATCTGGAGGCTCAGGACAGCCATAAGGCTGATGGACACTGACCAGAAGCACCCCTATAGTTCCCTTCAGTGAGACAGAACCCCAAAATCTTCAGGAGGGAGCTGTGGACAACCCCAAGAGGTCAGTAAAACCTGTGGCCTCTAGTTGTCTAAGCTTGGGGTGGGGGGGGAGGCGGGCGAGCCACGCAGACAAGGAGCCACGCAACCAAGGGGGTTGAGGCGGGGTCCAGACGAGCACCCCCAGATGCCGCGGCAGCCCCCCAAAGCTGAGCGGAGATGGGAAAGGAACTTCACGTATAACCATATGGTGGGGATGGGAAAGAAGATCACCTGCTTGCCTCCCCCCGGCCGGACTCGATCAGCCCGGACAGCACCGCAGGGAAAGGGGGGGAGGGGGGGCAGCCCCGAGACTACGGGGGCCCGGAAGGGGCGCCCGCCTGGCTGGGGGGGGCGGGGGCAGCGGGACCCGGCGCGAGCTGGCGCTACTGCCCGGAGCGAGGCGAGGGGGGAGGGGGTAATGGGCCCCGTGGCGCCTCAGCCCCGGCGCGCGCCGGGCTGCGCTCAGTCCAGCTGAGGCGCCCCGGGCGCGGGGAGCCCGGGAGAGCGGAGCCCAGAGGAGGGGAGGACAGGACCCGGGGGAATGCCGGCGCCCCGAGCCGGAGCCCTCACCTGGCCGCCGCGGTAGCTCTCGAAGGCCCTCAGAGCGCTGTCGGTGAGCTTCACGTGGAAGACAGACACCTTGCTGCCGTCGCTCACCCGCCCGCAAGACAGCCCGTAGCCCCGAGCTTCCTTCAGCGCCGCCATCTTGCGACCCTCTCCCCCGGGCCGGGCCGTGCGCCTGCGTCATAGCCGCCTCGCCTCGGCCCCGCCCCTTCCCGGGGGCAGCGTGATTCATTATTCAGGAGGCACGGCCGCCGCCGAGGTCCTTGGCTGGGCTGCTCGGCTCGTAGAGGGGAGGAGGCGGCGGGAGAAGGGGGCGGGGCATTCTGACAGCCGGGAAGGGAGGGGAGGAGGGGGCGGGGCCATGAGAACCCTGCTGGCCGGGCATCCTGCCAGGCCGGGAGCTACTGCGGGCCCCAGGAGGAATCCCATTCCAGCGCCTCTCGTCTTCCGCTTTAGAGTGGAAGCGCCTTGAGGGCCGGGGCCGTGTTTGCCCTAGGAAGGGCTAATTAGATGTTTGTTGACCGACTGACCAATCACAGAGAGCAAGTGACTAGAGGAAAGTTAGTGACAGAGCTGGGATGTCAATCATCAATCATAAACATTTATGAAGCCCCTACTATGTGCCAGCTACTGTGCTAATGCTGGAGATACAAAAAGACAGTGCCTGCCCTCAAGCATAGTTTTTTAGAACAACTAGGGGGCAGCTAAGTGTCACAGTGGATAGAGCACCTGCCCTGGATTCAGGAGGACCTGACTTCAAATGTGACCTCAGACACATAACACTTACTAGTTGTGTGACCCTGGGAAAGTCACTTAACCCCATTGCCTACAAAAAAAAAAAGGAACAGCTAGGTGGCAGTGGACAGAAAGGGGGAGGAGGAATCGGGAATCAAGAAGACCTGAGGGGCAGCTAGGTGGTACAGTGGATAGAGCACCAGCCCTGAAGTCAGGCAGGACCTGAGTTCAAATCCCACCTCAGACCAAACACTTGACACTTACTAGCTGTGTGACTTTGGGCAAGTCACTTAACCCCAATTGCCTAAAACAAGCAAAAAAAAAAAAAGAAGACCTGAGTCCAAATTCGACCTCAAGTGTTTATCACTATGTTGTTGAGCAGTTATGACCATGGGCAAATCACTTAACCTTTCTTTTGTCTAAGTTTTCTCAACTGTAAAATGGGGATAATACCACCTACCTCTCAGGGTTGTGGTGAAGCTCAAATGAGATAATATTTGTAAAGCACTTAGCACAGTGCCTTGCACGTAGTAGAGATGACGTAGGTAGATTCGAAAGAATTAGAACCCAGGTCCCCTAACTCCAAATCCTGCACCTCTCCACTGTAGGGCAACTGCTCTAACCAAGAGTCAGACAAGTATTATGTATGAAACATCTGCTACGTGTCAGGCACTGTGCTAAGTGCTAGGGATACAAAGAGAGGCAAAAGAGACTTCTACATGTTAGAGCTGGGCCTTGAAGTAAGGTAGGAGGTTCCAGCAGGCAGCGTCAAGGAGGAATAGGACATGGTTGTCCATCTGGACCGAGGCAGGAGATGGGAATGTCCCACATGGGAAGCAGTAAGTGGCATTTTGGAGAGAGCACAGTGTCACCACACACACACACACACACACACACACACACACACACACACACACACACCATCAGAGGGAATAACGTGTAACAGATTTGGCAAAATAGTCTGGTGCCAGATGACAAAGTGTCTGAGGACTTGATATTTTATCCTATCAACTGAAAGGAGCCTGTGGAGCTTCTAGAGCAGAGCAGAAGAGATGGTCAGTCAGACCTATGCTTTTAAGAATGTCAACGTGGGAGGAGGGAATTGGAGAGGAGATAGGCTTCAATCAGGAAATTACTGCAATAGTGTAAGCCAGTGACATCAGACTCCAACAGAAACCACTGAATTGTCTGCAAGGATCCCTGCAGGCCACATATGGACTTAGAAGACCACGTATTACCATTAGCTATGTTCTGTTATGTTTTTATTTTGTTAAATATTTCCCAATTACATTTTAATCAGGTTTGGTCTGCGCTGGGAAGCATTGAGGCAGCAATGCGTTTGACACCCTGGTATAAGCAAAAAGCGATCTGGCTAGATCTCCCCAAGAGGTGTGGGGGAGACAGAATCAGCAAAAATTGGTAACTGCCTGGATATGGGAGATTAGGGAGAGTGTAGAACACAGGATGACTCCTACTGTGTAAACCTGAGTGAATGGAAGAAATGCGATTGGAACGGACCTTAGATGTCATCTGGACAAATGGCTATTTGTAAAGTAATCAACTTAATTTTACAGAAAGGAAATCAGAGTCCAGGTAGGGGAAGTTCATGATTACTCTCTATGTCTTCTCCTTGACAAAGATTCCTGACTTTTCTACATGCCTGGTCCTGCTGGCAACCTGGGAAAGCCTAGAAACCCCTTTCTCAGGATGTTTTTAAATTATTGGAGGAAATACCAGATTTTAGTTAGAAGCTAATGAAAATGAAGGTGTGATTTCCCCCTACTCCCACCCCCATCCAAGTTCATGGACCCCTAACCACAGAGCCCCTGGGAATCTGTGGACCTCAAGTTAAGAAGCCCTGCTCTATTAGGATGGGAGGTTTTTTGTGAACAGGGACTATTGCTTCTCCCTCTGTTATCTCCAGGGCTTAGCAAATTACTTTGCCCATAGCAAGTATTCAGCAAGTGCTTTATCATTCATTCACTCTCATTTTTTTTTTTTGCCTTTTGGTGAGGCAATGGGGTTAAGTGACGGGCCCAGGGTCACACAAGTAGTGAGTGTTATGTGTCTGAGGCCAGATTTGAACTCAGGTCCTCCTGACTCCAAGGCCAGAGCTCTATCCACTGTGCCACCTAGATGCACCCCACTGCAATTTTCTAATCAGTAAAATAACATCATAGGATTCAGAAAGGGAAGAGGTCTGGAGGTGGGGGGGGGTGTTGTCATTCAAACATAACTCTCAGGCCCAGAGAGGAAGAAGTGATTTGCCCAAGATCACCCAATGAGTCAGTGGCAGAACTAAGACTTTATACAACTGATTCATTCATTCCATCAACAAAACTATTAAGCATCTACTGCGTGCAGTATCCTGTACTAGGCCAGAGACAAAGTTAAGGTAACACATGATCCCTTGCTCTCATGGAGCTAGGTCAGACAAATGGGAGGATGTATCACCAACACATGTAACAATAATATCACAACATCATATTATGTGTACATAAAGTCCAAGGGCAGTCATTAATGACCAGGAACCGGGGAAGAATGCTGGAAGAAGAGGAGTTTCAGATGAGCTCTCAAGGATGAATTGAACAGGTAAACAGAAGAAAGGCATTTGAAGCACAGAAAACCAGCTGAGCAGAGAGATACCATGAAGGAGGATCCCAGGCATGATGATGAAGGGGAGGGGAGGAAAGACAGGAGGAAACTGTCCATCATAGCCAGAATATAGAGCAAGTGAAGGAGAGTAACAGTAAGTCTGGAAGGACAGGATGGTGCCAGGTTGTAGAGGGCCTTGAATGTCAGACAAAGGAGTTTGTACTTTACGGTTTATCATCACCACTGGGGGTGGGGGAGTAAAGAGGAGGGGAGTGTGTTATCACCAATGAGCATAAACTGTCTGAGAGATAGGTGGGTCATTCTGGGATGGGCATAGAAAAGTGGCCCTTGGGTGAGGCCCTTTTGGGATATCAATGAGTTCATAATGAGGCTATAACATTTGGTAACCATGAGGCAACAGGAAGAGAAAATCACACAATCACTCAGTCTGGATCCACTACAAATTTACACAACCTCAAATGGCCCTCACTGCTGTTGGGCAATCCTACTACCTCTTCCAAATCTCATCTTCTCAAACCTTCCCCCACCCTCTCAGCTGAGAACCCTGCCGCCTCTTTTACTGAAGAAAAATGGAGGCCACTCACACGTGAGCCCCCTGTTCTCCCCTTTTACTTATCATATCACTCACATGACTTGTGCCATTACCCCCTTCACCATCTTCTCACATGAAGAGAGGGCCCTGCACTCTCTGCCCTCTGTCGGCATAAGCAATACCATTTTATCCGTCTCCTCCAGCACTTCCAGGCTCAAATACAAAATCTTCTGTTTGGTACTTAGAGCCCTTCATAACCTAGGGCCTCCTCCTTTCCTGTCTTTTTATACCCTACCGACCCCACCCATATACACACCCACACACCCACATACACACTGCCATTCAATGGCACTGGCCTCCTTGAGGTTCCCAGAACAAGACCCTCCATCACTGGGCTCTGGGCATTTTCTCTGGCTGTCCCCCATGCCTGGAATGCTTTCTCTCTCCTCATCTCTACCACCTGAGCTCCATGGCTTCCTTCAAGTCCTCTTTAAAATCCCACCTCTGCAAGAAGCCTCTCCCAACCCCTCTTAATTCTAGGGTCTTTCGCTGTGGATTTCCTCCTGACCCTTCATACGGCATGTTTGTGTATAGCTGTTGGCATATTGTCTCTCTATTAGATTGTCAGCTGCTCCAGGGCAGTCTTTTGCCTTGCTAGGTACCCCCAGTGCTTATCACAGTGGCCAGCAAAATGCTCATCTGCCCCTCTGATTGGACCCTCTGGCTGGAGAGCAAGGCCCTGAGTTCCAAGGTTTCTGTTCCAGAAAGGGGCTCAGCACAGTTTTCTTCCATTTCCCATCTCCACTGCTTTTGGACTTCTCCATCAAATACCCACTGGGTACTTTCTCTCCCCTTCCCTCCAGCCCCCCACTTTTCAGTTTCCTTTTGTGTATCCTCTTCAGGTAAACTGCTTGAAGGAGGGGGGGTCCTTTTTTTGTTTTTAACTTGTATTTGTAATCCCCAGCACTTGGCACTGAGTCTGGCACTTAATGAAGGTGCTTAATGAATATTTATTGACTAATAAAAGCCCACAAGAAAGGGTCAGTCAACAGAGGATTAAAGGAAAGAACAGAGGATTTGAGCTCAGGAAGGAACCTTAGAGTTCAAGGAGCCATAAGAATTAGAGCCAGAAAGGGCTTTAGGAGTCATTGAGTTCTTCCCCTCCCCTCCCCCATTTATTTAAAGTACCTTTTATTGATCTCTTTGGTTTTCCATAACCTACACTTCCCAATGCATCTCTTCCCACCCCCCCCCCAGAGACTCATCCTCTATTCAAAAAATAACAAAAGAAAAATAAACAGCACAACTCAGCAGCACACTGGAAAAATCTGACATTACACTGCAAGTTCCACATCCATCGTCTTCCACCTCTGCAGAGCACCTCCTATCTCCTCAAGCCCGGTCATTATCACGTCAAGCAGTTGTTTTGTTGTTGACTCGTTCTTCCTGTTTACATAGTGGGAGTCACAGAGGACGAGGTTTTCCTCCTCCGGCTGACTTCACTCTGCGATAGATAGTTCACACCAGCCTTAAGATCCCAGAGCTAGAAGGAGACCACGGATTTCCCTCCCATCAATTCCATTCCATAAACATTTCTTAAGCTGCCCAAGGGTGCCTGGCGCCATGCTAAGGGTGGGGCATACAAATGAGAAAAAGGAGGACAGTCTCTGCCTTCAAGGAGCTTGCGATCTAATGGGAGAAGATAGAACACAAAAGGAAGCTGAAAGAGGGGGGAACGGAAGGGGAGAGGTAGTGTGTGCTGTTCCCTAGAGCTGAACCTAGCAAATCTGTTGATGGAAAATTACCTAAGAAGTTGTGAGCCCTTTACAAAGGAAGACTCCTAGAGTTTATTGCTCCACCCTCCAGCTCCCTCGCCAGGTTTATTTTGATTTGCATTTCTATCAGTGATTTTTTTTTTTGCAAGGCAATGGGTGTTAAGTGACTTGCCCAGGGTCACACACCAATAAGTGTCAAGTGTCTGAGGGCACATTTGAACTCTGGTCCTCCAGACTCCAGGGCTGGTGCACCACCTAGCTGCCCCTCTATTAGTGATTTGAGGAACGGTAGTTGATAGGGGCAGCTAGGTGGACTGAAATAAGGCTCATCTTCCTGAGTTCAAATCTTGCTTCAGATACTTACTGTGGGCCAGTCACTGTCTCAGTTTCCTCATCTGTAAAATGAGCTGGAGAAGGAAATAGTAAACCAGTCTGGTATCTTTGCCAAGAAAACTCTAAATGGGGTCATGAAGAGCTAAACCCAGCTAAACCACAAAGTAGATAGTTTGAAGTTCTTTTGAGAATTGTTTCTCCACATCCTTTGACCACTCATCTAATTAGTTCTTAATATATTTCTGCTACTTGCCTAAATATTTATCAGGGCCTTATAAGAGATATTTAATACAAAGATTTTTCCTCAGTCCATCCCCTCCCTTCTTATCCTACTTGGATTAATTTTGTTCATGCAAATGCTTTTCCATTTCATGTAATCAAAACTATTTTTTCTTTTGTAATTGCCTCTAAATCTCATTGGATTAACAATTGACTTCCTAGCAATAGTTGAGAAAGGTACCCTATCTGATTCTCTCTCTTTTTTTTTAATGGTGTGAACTTTAATATTCACATCACATGCCTTTTGAGGTTATTCTGGTGTATGGTATAAGATGTTGGTCTAACCCTATTTTCTGCTAGACTTATTTCCAGTTTTCCCAGCAATTTTTGGCAAATAGTTCTTTTTTAAGGTAATTTATGTTTTCAGTCAAACCCTTTATTTTACAGATGATTAAACTGAGAGGTTGAATGACTTATGTGATTTACACAAAAGCACACAGCCAGTCAGTGTCTGAGGTGGAATTAGAATCCAGGTCTTCCTAACACCAAGTCCTCCACTCTCCCATGCTACTTCTTATTTTACAGATAAGGAAAACAAAGACCTGAGAGGGAAATGATTTGCTTGTGGTCCCAGAAGTACAAATGAACAAAACCCAGGTTTTCTGACTTTAAATCTAGTGCTCTTTCTACTAGAGTATGTATATGAAATAGAGGAAGATACATGGATGGCAAAGAGAAAGAAAAAAAGGATGGAGGTTCTGGGGGAGAGTGTTCAATGTGTGTTAGGGGTGGGGAAAGACTGTCTTTCATCCTCTCTAGCTGTTTCACACTGGCCTTACCTTACCTGCTTAAACCAGATATCTAGGCCAGATGATTCCTTGAGGTTTCTAACAGTTCCAAGAATCTCCCCTATATATGACTTAAAGGGGAACGTTGGAGGCCTGTAGAAGTAGGTACAGACTTCATTTTCTGTAAGGGTACCTAATTAAAGTTTTTTGTTAGGATGGTACCTGTGGAGAGCAGAGACCCACAGCCAGACCTGAGTCAGCCTTCTCAGCTGCACAGAAAAAGATTTCTGAGTGGAATTTAGGCCAAGTCACTAAATCAATTTTCAAAAAATTAAGTATCTGCTTTGCGCATGGAATAAGACAGGAACGAAGAGGAGAAAAACCATCTTGCTCACCTGTTCAAATTCCCATCGGCCCAGATCCTAGAAAGATTTAAAATTAGGTTTAAAATCTTTGAGAACAGGGACATTTCATGTTTGTAATTTTATCCTCAATACTAAGCACAGTGCCTGGCACACAGTAGGGGCGGGGGGGGGGGTATCAGGGCCAGAGGACTAGAAAGGCACAATGGGTTAAGTAAAGGACCAGTTGGGAGACAAGGTTCCAGGGTCCAAGAGAAACAAGAGCAGGGAAAGGTGGGTAGGGTGGGGTAATGAAAAGAGCCTGGAAGTCCTGAATTCAAGTCCTATCCTTCCAGTAACTACTGCAGCTACACAAAAACTTCATTTCCTCTTTGGGGCTTCAGTTTCTAATATCAGGGGGCTGGGTGAGTCTACAGGCCCTTACTTCTGAATGTCAGGCAGCCACCTTCAAGAAAATTAGAAGAGTGTGTCACCAAATACCCTTATCAGAACAAAAGAGAAAGGAAATCTGTCTTCACCTTTTGGGAAGAACAACTTATTCCCCCTGTGGAGGTCAATCAGGGTGGGAGGAGGGAGCTGTAATAGTCATCTGCCAGGGAACCTCTGGGTCTCCAAATTCACGCTCACACAATTCATTCAACAAACATTTATTATTTTATTAAGCCCCTGCTGGGAGTATAGCATCATAGACTGGAACAGCAATCCCTTCATTTTACGGATGAGAAAAGGGGGTGCCAAGAGTGTGAACACCCAGGCTCACACAGGTGCTAAGGGGCAGAGCCAGGATTGCCCCCTCCAATACCTCGCCTTCCATGCGACTGCATTCAGAGCCCTCTGCTAGTCTCTGAGAGTACAGAGATTCAAAACCAAACCACACCAGAGCCTACATTCTACCCACCAGAGACACAGAGATGGCACGGACACAAGGACAGATATCCAAAGAACCCAAGACAGAGGGTAGCAAGGGCCCAGGGGGATCTGAGAAGGAAGGGAGCCCCGTTATGTGAGGGAAAGGCTTCAGAAGAGGTGGCACCTGGAGGATACTGAAAGGCCCAAGAAGTGAGGATGGAAAGCCTTCTAAGGGAGGAAGGGCTTGCATGTGGCATGCTTAATTGTAGAGAGTAAGGAATCATCCAATTGGAATAATAATATTTAAAAATACTCATGCAGGGCTTTCAATTTTATACTTTATACATATCATTTCATTTGATCTCATTTGATTAAAAACTAGAATGTGAAGAAAAAGTCATATGAAATGAAATCAGGAAAGGTAGATTGGAGCCAGAGGGAGGGCTTGAAATGCCAAGCTGTGGCATTTTTATTTTCTCCTGCAGGCTCTGGAGAGCCCTGGATGGGTTCAGAGCAGATCGAAGGCAATGGTCAGCTTTGTGCCTTCACAGATTACCGTGGCAGCTGTGTGAAGTATAGATCAGAGAGGGGGCTTGGTACCTATCTTTAGTCTAAAACTCCAGTGCTCTCACCCCCTAGTCTAGTCTAACCCTTAACTGAGTCACTGAGGCCCAGAAAGCAGTAGATTTGCCAGCAGAGAAGCCAGTAGAACCAGATCTCTTGACTTTTCCATTCTGGTTCCACACCCCCTCTCAAAAGTCAGTCTGGGTTCAAGTGCTGGGTGACCTAGGCTAGTCAAGTTTGGAAATACCTTCCCTAACTCCTCTAGGTTCCACCTGGGATCTCATGCACCTTCTTTTTACCTAGCCACGGCTCCTATAAATACATACACAATATATATAAATTATAGTATATGAATAATTGTGTGCAATAGATTTAGTTACATATTAAACATGCAAACCACATCTCTATATAGTAAAATGCTATGTCATATACTCCATAAATATATCATTAATATCTGTAAAACATACTTGTTATATATACATATAAACATGAGCAATGTTTCAACATACATGCACACACATGTATACTATGCAATAACCAGCACGTATGTAGAACTTTAAGTTGTACACTTTACATCCATGATTTCATTTGACTCACAACAACCCTGTGAGGTAGATGCTTTTATTATGTTCATTTTACATGTCCTTGGTCACTTTGCTAAGTCAACGTCCGAGGTAGGATAAAAGCAACAGGATGAAACCCTGAAGGCCTCTAGAGTGTGGGGGAATCAGAGTGTCTGGCCAATTCCCCCACCCTTCACTGTTCCCCCTTACCTTCTTCCTTAGGCCTCCTTGCTGCTACTGCCTCAGACCCCTGGGGGTCGCCAGCTCAGCACCCCCTAACCTAGACTTCCTGGAGCAGAGTAAAGGCTCATCCTCCAAATAGGTTTGAGCTGGCTATGCCACCCTTATCTTCACTGGTCCCATCATGCAATCCCTGGAAGTGAACACTTTGATGATGTTACCAGGGCACCTGCCCTTAGCGGAAGGCCGCATGCCTGGTGGCACAGTGCCAACCTCTGACACTGTCAGGGTGCATCCATAGTGACACACTGCCATGCTCACATTGACAGTCACAAACACAGGCAACCCCTTGGACTTCAGGACCAGCACTTGACCAGGAGCAGGCCAAGGACCACAAGTGAAGGAATTGCTTAGAGACCTTCTTCTTGGCCAAGCCCCCAGGGATCCAAGCTCCCATCCAGCAACTGGTGGTCCAAGCAATAAAGAAGATCCCAACTGGCTTCCTGGGCCCCCGAGGCACATGGGTTAAGGCTTCTGGATACCCCCTCTTCCCTGGGCATGAGCAAGATGAGAGCAAAGGGACACAGCAGAGGCTGAGGATGTAATCAAGGATGGACTTGACAGGAGACAAACAGACAGACCCTGGTGGAAGGCTTGGGGTAGAGGCATGGTGGTGGTGGTGGTGGTGGTGGTGGTACAGTGCCTTAAGGCCCCTATCATTCTTGGCTGCCCACATCTGGCCCTGGCCCCTGGGACCTTTCTTTTTTCGGGCTAGGGGCTGGCATGCAGCCACCTTCCGGCCTACCATTCCTCTAGGCTCTGGGCAACAAGGTCAGAGCTCCAAACTAAGAAACCACATCCTCGTCCCATCACCCATCGGAAACTCAGAGGGTGCCCACAAGCCCCTCTAGGAATTCCCCAGCCAGATCATCGGATTTGAGTACTGATCTGGTGCAGCAGATAGAGAACCCTGGATTTGGGGTCTAAAGGGCCAGAACTCAAACCAGATCTGGGTGAGAGTTCCACCTCTGGCTCAGGCTATGTGAACATGGACCTTCCTTATCCTCTCTCAATCTTGGTTTCCTCATCCATCAACTAGTAATTATAAAAAAAATTTTGCTTTCTAAACCTTAGAGTGATATAGAATATATAAACTGTTTATGACAATTCCCCTGGGTATAGGGTGCTTTCAAGGAAATAGCCCAGGCCAAGATATGGCACCCCCCTGGGGCCTGACAGCCAGAGGGCCCTGGGCCCCTAGAGTCCCTTCCAGGAAACTCCTAGTGGCCAACACAGCTGGGGTGGAGTAGAGATTAGTCAGCAGGCCAAGTCAGCCCAGGGAGCAGTTTCAGGGAAGGAGGGAAGTGGTGCTGACAGGAAGCAAGGGGAGGGGGGAAGAGGTGGAGGAGATGACTGGGGAAGCCAGTCAGGGGACCCTGTGTAGATAGGATCAGCCTAGCTGGAAACACCAGCTCAATTTCCCCTAAGTCCTCGGGTAGGAGTGGGGAGACCACAGGCAGAGTGTAGCCCTTGCTTTGGGAACGGAAAGGGACTGAAGAACAGACCCCCAAAGTAAACCAGAAGTGGTGGGAGAAGACAGAGACCTATCTCCTCTTGAATACTCAGATCTTTTTCCATGAAGCCTCACCAGGACAGATTACAGATGGGCATGAGGTCCAAACCAGAAAGGGGATGTGGGACAGCCCCCGAGCAGCTTCAAAGAGAAGGTAGAGTCCAGGGGATGGCCCTGGGCCCTTGGGTAAGAATGGGGGCATCAGCTCCCTGGGAAGTGACTCATCCTCCCAGATTCTGAGCACTGCCAACTTAGAAGGTACTGACAGGCCCTTCCTTCCCTCCCCCACCCCATCCCCCAAAGTCTCTCACACGTGCTTGTCATGGAGCCAAAAAACACCCTCTCCAAGAAATGAAGGGATGGCAATAGATGATCTCCAAGGCTCCTTCCTGTGCAAAATCCCATAATGTGGTCCTTTGGGAGTTTCCAGAGTGCCTTCAGGAGAAAGCAGAACAGTGGACCTGGCTTTCAGGAGACGTGGGATCTGGGCTCAGCTCTGGGATCTTTGGGCGAGGTGACCTCTGAGAATTCGGGCTCCCCCCTCTCCAAGCTTCAGTCTCCTCAGCTGTCAACTGGGAACAAGAAGAAGGCTGACAAAGGTTGAAGGTGAGGAAAATGCTTCATAAACAAACCTGGGCTCTCTGTTACCCACGTGAGAGCAACTATCACCAATGAGAAACACGGAATGCTCATGGTGAGAGGAACCAGACACAGAGAATGTCAGGGCAGGGAGGGCCGGAAGAATGTTCGGCCTGAAAAGGCCCTCGGAACAAGGAATGCCAGAGGTGGGGGACATACAATGATAGGGCACTTTAAGGCTTACAAAGCACTTTATAAGTTATCTCCTTTGCTCCTCACAACAACCCTGGGAGGCACATGCTTATTATGATGTCCATTTTACACATGAGAAAACTAAGGCCAAGAGAGGTAACTTGCCCAGGGTCACAGTCAGAACTGGGAGGGACTTTTGAACACAAAATGTCAGAATTGGGAGGAACCTTAGATCAGAAGATGTCAGAGCCAAGAGGGCCCTTAGAACACAGAATGTCAGAGCTGAGAGGGGTCTTAGAACAGGGAATGTCAGAATTGGGAGGGCTCTTAGAACTCAGAAGGTCAGAGTAACAGGGTTATTAGGACCCAATGTCAGAGCAGAGAAGGACTTTAGAACCGAGAATGTCAGAGCTGGGAGGAACCTTAGGAGAGAATGTCAGAGCTGGGAGGGCCCTTAGAACATAGAAGGTCAGAGCTGGGAGGAACCTTAGAACACAGAATGTCAGAGCTGGGAGGGCCCTTAGAACACAGAATGTCAGAGCTGGGAGGAACCTTAGAACACAGAATGTCAGAGCTGGGAGGGCCCTTAGAACACAGAATGTCAGAGCTGGGAGGAACCTCAGAACCCAGAAAGTCAGAGCTGGGAGGGCCCCTGGAATACAGAATGTCAGAACTGGGAGGGACTTTTGAACACAAAATGTCAGAATTGGGAGGAACCTTAGATCAGAAGATGTCAGAGCCAAGAGGGCCTTTAGAACATGGAATGTCAGAGCCGAGAGGGGTCTTAGAACCGAGACGGTCAGAGCTGGGAGGAACTTTGCAACACAGAAAATCAGAGCTGGAAGGAACTTTAGAACCTAGAAAGTCAGAGCTGGGAGAGGCTTTTGAACACATTAGAATATCAGAGCTGGGAGGAACCTTAGAACACAGAAGGTCAGAGCTGCAAGGAACCTTAGGAGAGAATGTCAGAGCTGGGAGGGCCCTTAGAACATAGAAGGTCAGAGCTGGGAGGAACTTTAGAACACAGAATGTTAGAGCTGGGAGGAACCTTAGAACACAGAATGTCAGAGCTGGGAGGGCCCTTAGAACACAGAAGGTCAGAGCCGAGAGGGGTCTTAGAACCGAGAAGGTCAGAGCTGGGAGGAACTTTACTACACAGAAAATCAGAGCTGGAAGGAACCTTAGAACCTAGAAAGTCAGAGCTGGGAGGGCCCCTGGAACACAGAATGTCAGAGCTGGGAGAGGCTTTTGAACACATTAGAATATCAGAGCTGGGAGGAACCCTAGAACACAGAATGTCAGAGCTGGGAGGAACCTTAGAACATAGAATGTCAGAGCTGGGAGGGCCCTTAGAACACAGAAGGTCAGAGCTGGGAGGAACCTTAGAACACAGAATGTCAGAGCTGGGAGGGCCCTTAGAACACAGAAGGTCAGAGCCGAGAGGGGTCTTAGAACGAGAAGGTCAGAGCTGGGAGGAACTTTACTACACAGAAAATCAGAGCTGGAAGGAACCTTAGAACCTAGAAAGTCAGAGCTGGGAGGGCCCCTGGAACACAGAATGTCAGAGCTGGGAGAGGCTTTTGAACACATTAGAATATCAGAGCTGGAGGAACCTAGAACACAGAATGTCAGAGCTGGAAGGAACCTTAGAACATAGAATGTCAGAGCTGGGAGGGCCCTTAGAACACAGAAGGTCAGAGTTGGGAGGGCCCTTAGAACATAGAAGGTCAGAGCCGAGAGGGGTCTTAGAACCAAGAAGGTCAGAGCTGGGAGGAACTTTACTACACAGAAAATCAGAGCTGGAAGGAACCTTAGAACCTAGAAAGTCAGAGCTGGGAGGGCCCTGGAACACAGAATGTCAGAGCTGGGAGGCTTTTGAACACATTAGAATATCAGAGCTGGGAGGAACCCTAGAACACAGAATGTCAGAGCTGGGAGGAACCTTAGAACATAATGTCAGAGCTGGGAGGGCCCTTAGAACACAGAAGGTCAGAGCTTGGAGGAACTTTACAACACAGAATGTCAGAGCTGGGAGGGCCCTTAGAACACAGAATGTCAGAACTGGGAGGGACTTTTGAACACATTGGAATATCAGAGCTGGGAGGAACCTTAGAACACAGAATGTCAGAGCTGGGAGGAACCTTAGGACAGAAGGTCAGAGGTGGAGGGCCCTTAGAACACAGAATGTCAGAGCTGGAAGGAACCTTAGAACCCAGAAAGTCAAAGCTGGGAGGGCCCCTAGAACACAGAATGTCAGAGCTAGGAGGGACTTTTGAACACAGAATGTCAGAGCTAGGAGGGACTTTTGAACACAGAACGTTAGAGCTGGGAGGAACCTTAGAATCCAGTCCAATTCATTCAGGTATCAGAGGGGCAATTAAAGCCCAGAGAAGTAAGTACATGGCTCCCAGGCCCTCAGCTTGTTAGTAGAAGAGCCCAGCCTTCTGTTTTCCCAGTGAGGGCTCTTTCTCACCCACTCTGGGAGCTCCTTTAGGGATGCATCTATCCAATGAGCTGTAGCTGAGCAGGTATCTGATGGGTTAAGTCAGTATAACTTGTGAGCCTCTCTCAGAGAAAGGGAAGAGGGAAATGGTCTGCAGAGCTGGTAAGGAGGCTTTAGGTCACACCGGCTGCTTGGATCACTGGGAGGCAGCTGGAATGGACCCAATCTAATGGGATCAAGAATCCTGGAGCTGGGGGTGGGACGTCCTGAGAACAGAGAGCCTAAAAGCAGGTTAAATTAGCTCAGTCTACTCCTTCGACCTTCCACCACACACACACAAGCAAAGGAACACACAAACATGCACACATCAGCAGACACATGCAAACATGCATAGTACAGACATGTTCACACACATGTAAAGACTGTGTGTGCATGCATGCATGTAGGCACACACCCCTACACAGACACACACCCTACACACACAAGGGAACACCCACACCCCTTTCCCAGAGCCGGCAGAAGAAGGTGAGGGCCCCAGGCGAATCGACCAGGTTGGGCACTTTATTTCCTAGGCTTTCCCATTAGACAACAGGAGGCTCCATACCTGGGTCCAGTAAACTCAAACATGGGGGGTGAGAAGAGGGCTGTGCTCACTGCAGGCAGGGGGCAGCGAGGATTGGGCAAAGGGAGTGGGCACACAAAGATGCTTCTGCCAAGGCAAGGGGGCACATTCTCCTCCCACTTAATATAAGCCAATTCCCTGTCCACAGATGTGCGCCAGACCCATGTCAGGCAATCCTGAGGCTGAGCCTAGGGAAGGAGGAGGGGAAATCCCCCCAGAGTGGGGCAGAAAGTGCTTCGGGTCTGCACTGAGCCTTTGGGCTCCTGCCAGGGAACCTTCAGGGCATAAGCCAGCTCAAGAGCTCCAGGCTGGGCCAACAGACCAGGGCCTGAGCACACTAGCAGTTCCCCTTCCCTGTGGGCAATGTGAAAATACCCACTTCTAAGGCCCATCCCCACAATCTCCATCACGACATCCTCAGGAAAGCTGGGCTGGTGCTTCCATTGATTTACCATCCCCTTGCCCACTGGGGCTACATGAAATCTTGTAGCTGGCCCTTCCTTGCCAGACAGATCAGGCCCCCAGCTATCTGCCCAGCTCTGGTGGGGAGTACTGAAGAGGGAGGGAGACAGGTGTCCCCTGACTGGGTGGTCCAGACTCTTCATTCATTCCTAGGGACGGACCTAATTCGAGGTCACTGCCCACGTGGTATTTGAGTGGGGCATGTCAGGCTTTGGAACAGAAAAGGGACAGGGAAGATGCAGGCCCAGTGCTGGAAGGTACAGGGAAGCCCAGGCAGGCCGTAGGCAGCATCCATCTGTCCAGGCTTTCAATTTCTGGCAGCGATGACCACAGACAGAGCCACACCCCCGAGGGCTACAGCGGTTGCCCCAAAGAGCCATTTCCACGGAATGGACTGTAGAAAAACAAAACAAAACAAAACAAAGGGAAAGAAAAATGTTTAGGTGCTGCTCATCCCCTCCCTGCCCTGAGTGACCCACCATCTCCCCAAGTCTGTCCCCACTCCTGCTGATGACCCAGGACCTTGCCATGCCCCTCTGAGACAGAGGGAAAAAGCCAAAGTCCTTAGCCTAGCATTCAAGGCTGCATGACCAGGCCCCAACTCCCTTCTCTACCTTCTTCTCTACCCAGGCTGCTCACCACCCAGTCTCCAGAACATTCTCATGTCATCTTCCATGAATTTGTTCACTCCATCTCTCCTACTTGGGATGCCTCTCTTTCCCCTTTCTTCTGTCTCTCCAAATCCTTTCCCTATGCTTAAATGGCCAGCTCAAAGCTCACCTCTTCCAGGGAGCCTTTCACGACTACCCCAGACCACAGGGAGCATTAAGTCCTTCTGAGCTCCTAGTGTACTTGGCAACTGCTATGTGGGGCCTGGGAACATCTCTTGAAGTGTGATTTGCTTTTTCCTGTATATGTGGCCCTGCCTCCTGGACTCAAAGAGAGGCTCCCTGAGGGTGCTACATGGACCAGCTCTTCTGTTTTTCCTTTTCTCCAGGCCAGCCCAGCCCCGAAGAATTCCAGTCACAAAGGAAGCCCTGCCTAGGTACTGTAGGGCAGGGACCTCCAGGGCAACAGCTGGTCTTCACTTTGTCCTGGGATTTCCCCTAAAGACTCCTCCCAAAGGCAAAAAATTCTACAAACGGAAGTGAGTTCAGGGATCCTCTGCCCAGGCAAAGAGATCTGGGTTTGAACTCTGCTACTAACCTGACAGATGACCTCTGATAAGTCCCTTTGCCAACCCAGGCCTCCATTCCTAGCTCTAATTTGAGAGGATTACACTACCTGGTTTCAAAACTCCCTCTCCATTAAAAAGTCCTACCTAGCTCTGACATATTCTGTTCCAAGGGCCCTCCCAGCTTTGACATTCCATGTTCTAAGGGCTCTCCCAGCTGACAGTCTGTGTTCTAAGGCCCCTCCCAGCTCTAACATTCCCCATTCTAAGGTCCCTCCCAGTACTGATAGTCTGGGTTCTCCTACTGCTGACAAAATAAAGTCCCTTCAAGTCCTAAAATTCTGCCAACCAGTTACTTGGCTCTGAGCTGGCAGAGCTACTGAAATTTAGCTTGTGTGGCCCCACCCCCTGGCACTGCCACAGATGGCAGTGCTTGCCAACAGCACAAAGGGGCCCCTCACCTTCCTATCAACACCTAACTAAACCAAAGGCTGAATACTGGGAGAGGCCTCTCGATTCCTGTCCCCCTGCCCCAAGTCCCTTACCCGGGGACCCTTGGCGGGGCCCTTGGAAGGCAGTCCACCGGCACCAACAGTGCCAAGCATCTTCTTGTACATGGCAGTCTCTGTGTGCCTCTGGGCAGCATGCTTTTTCACCAGCTTTGAGAGCTCAGAATGAATAGTCTGCAAGGTAAACACAGGAGAGGGAGAGAGAACCATCCCAAGGAGTGTTGGGGAGGGAGGCAGACAGGCAGGAAGTAGATCTCAAAGCCCTTGGAGAAGCAGTAAGAGAGCCCCCAGTCTGCCAGTACTGGGGAATGGGGATGTAGCAGCTAGCTGCTGGCTTCCTAAGAAACAACTAAGGATAAGACAAAGGTCGTGGCTTGGCCCAATCACAGGCCAGATGCCTCCTGCTGCCTCATGGACACCTCCCCCCACCTGGCCTAACACACAATGGGGGCACCAGTAAAATCTGTGAGGGCCGGGACACGGGGGAATGTGCTTCTGGATTTCTAGAAGGAGATAAAGTGAATGGGGGAACAGAAAGGAGGATATCCCCCTCTCCTCAGGAAAGCTAAAGCTGGGGAGTCTGGGTCCGAACTGGAAGGGACTAGGACTCTCAGGATGAGAAAAAGAGCGAGTGGGTGGAGCACTGGAGCAGGAAGGGAAGTAGAGGGCCTGAGGAAAGCTACTGACCCCCCAAATATCCCCCTGGTCCTGAGAAAAAAAGCACTAAGAGGAGACTCCTGGGACCAGTTTCATATCCTGTAAAGTGAGGGATGAGACTTCAAGTGTTCAAAGGTCTCTGACAGCTCTGACTTGGTGAGTCCTGAGGGCCCTCCCAGCTCTGCCATCTTGTGTTCTAAGGGCCCTCCCAGAGATGCCATCCTGTGTTCTAAGGGCCCTCCCAGAGATGCCATCCTGTGTTCTAAGGGCCCTCCCAGCTCTGATCTCCTGTGTCCTAAAGGCCCTCCCAGAGATGCCATCCTGTGTTCTAAGGGCCCTCCCAGCTCTGATCTCCTGTGTTCTAAGGGCCCTCCCAATTCTGCCATCCTGTGTTCTAAGGGCCCCAACTCTGACCTCCCGTGTTCTAAGGGCCCTCCCAGAGATGCCATCCTGTATCCTAAGGACCCTCCCAGCTCTGCCATCTTGTGTTCTAAGGGCCCTCCCAGAGATGCCATCCTGTGTCCTAAGGGCCCTCCCAGCTCTGACCTCCTGTGTTCTAAGGGCCCTCCCAGCTCTGCCATCCTGTGTTCTAAGGGCCCTCCCAGAGATGCCATCCTGTGTTCTAAGGGGCCTCCCAGAGATGCCATCCTGTGTTCTAAGGGGCCTCCCAGCTCTGATCTCCTGTGTCCTAAGGGCCCTCCCAGAGATGCCATCCTGTGTCCTAAGGGCCCTCCCAGCTCTGACCTCCTGTGTTCCAAGGGCCCTCCCAGAGATGCCATCCTGTGTTCTAAGGGGCCTCCCAGCTCTGATCTCCTGTGTCCTAAGGTCTCTCCCAGCCCTGACATCCTGTGTCCTAAGGGCCCTCCCAATTCTGCCATCCTGTGTTCTAAGGGCCCCAACTCTGACCTCCTGTGTTCTAAGGGCCCTCCCAGAGATGCCATCCTGTGTTCTAAGGGCCCTCCCAGCTCTGATCTCCTGTGTCCTAAAGGCCCTCCCAGAGATGCCATCCTGTGTCCTAAGGGCCCTCCAGGCCCTGACATCCTGTGTTCTAAGGCAGAAGTGTCAAAGTCGGCCTCTTGGACTCTCCAGTTTGCTCTGAATCAGACTGAAATGGAATTGGGAATGTTTAACCAAATAAATAAAAATATAATCCAACATAGATAACGGTAATGTGTGGATCTGTTTCTATTTGAGTTTGATACCACTGGTCTAACGTGCCTTCACTCACAAACATAGACAGAAGGTCCCTAGAGGACGTCTGGTCCAACACCCCCTCATGTCACGGATGAAGCAAACGGAAGCCCAAGAGACAATCTGATTTGCCCAGAGTCACTCAGGGAGTAGGTGGCAGAGGCCAGATTCAAACCCAGGTGCTCTGGATCCAAATCCCTCATTCCTATCCCTGAACTGCATTGTTCTAATGCCTTCAGAGCTTATCTCCTAGTCAGAAAAAAGACGAGTGCCCGCTGAATCTTCACAGGACCAGTTGCAGACTCTTGGGTCCTGGTCTTGGGCCATTAAATGTCCAAGGCATGGCAGACACAGGTAGCAGTTAGTGCCTGGCCAAAGAGAAGGGCTCATGTGGCAAGAAGCCCAGGGAGGCGCTCATCCCAGCCAAGCCCCAGCCGGGCTCCCTTAGGTGGGACAGGACTGCATTCTGCATCCTGGACGAAAGGGCAGGGCTCCATGCTGGCCAGCACCGGATAAGAGGCAATCGGGGGGCACAGCAGGAAGACTCAGGGATGGCCTCCTCTGGGCACAGTCTAGTACAGAAGAACAAGGGCTCCCCCTGAACTCCAGCCTGCTGGTCAGACTCACTAAGAGATGGAGACCTTATAAGTTACCCAGGCCAAGGCCCAGGGAAGGCAAGTGATTTGCCCCCAGTCACAGGGGGAAACAGCAAAGGCAGGATCCAAACACAGGTCCCCTAACTCCACATGTGGAGCTGCGCCTCCCACAAGATGGGAGCTGCTGCCACAGGGGCACAGAAGGAAGGACATGGGACTTGGCCCGGTCCCAAAGAGCGGCTAGCCGGGGGCGGGGGGTAAGAGTCCGCTCTGAGGATTACAGACTGTCAGAGCACAGACCTCAGGACTCATCTGGTTGAAACCCTCTTCCTGAGGCCAGGCATAGGCTGTGGAGAAGGCTGGAGGACAAGGCTGTTTCCAGGTCTCCTGAGACCCAGCTCTTGTCTCCCACCCCTCCCTGTCTCTCTCCAAAATGCTTAAGAACTTACCTTGTTGGAAGGTTCCAGTTTGAGGGCAGCTCTCAGGATGGGGATGGCCTCAGCATACTCACCTTTGCTGTGCCAGCACCTACAGGAGGGCAGGTAGCAGAGATCAAGGCCATACTGACACTCCCCATCTACTGGGCCCCAGGCCTTGTTCAGGCAAGAGAAAGGAAGGGCTTTGTCCCTCCCCTTGCCCAAAGGAATTTCATCTCTCACTGGGTAGACAAAATTCTGGATCTCAGTTTTCTCAACTGTAAAATGAAGGAGCTAGACTAAGGAGCCTCCCAGCTCTGCGTTTGAAGGTTCTCTGTTGTAAGGGCCCTCCCAGCTCTGACATCCTGTGTTCCAAGGGCCCTCACAGCTCTGACATCCCATGTTTTAAGGACCGTCCTAGCTCTGATATCCCATTTTCTGAAGGCCCTCCCAGCTCTGACATCCCACGTTCTAAGGGCCCTCCCCAATCCTAACATCTGCTAGTCTGTGACTCTCATTCTCACGGTATCTGTGTAGGTGCTCCAAAGGACACAGAACGATGTGATCCATGTGCCCTGGGCTGCACTGAGGAGGATGGAGGTTGACTTGGGGCAGGGCTGGCCAAGGAATCTGCTGGCCACCTAGGGCTCACCTTGCCCTTCCGGAACAGGGCCTTGATGTTATCTGGCTGGTGGCTGAGTGCCAGGCTGCAGGAGTTCAACGCTGCACTGTAGTGGTCCAGCTTGAGCTGTGAGGCAGCCAGGTTGTTCAGACATTTCACCTTCAGCTCTAACAATTCTGCCTCCTCCTCTGGGCTCACATCAACTGGCACAGCGGTGCAAAGGAGCATAAGGAGACATGACCCTTCACATAGCCCACCCTAGCCCATGGAGACATAGAGGGCCCAGCTTTGACCAAGGCAAGATAGATGGACATCAGCGGCAGGGACCACCACAAGGGCTCCAAGATCCAGGCCAAGGAGGCCCCCACAGACATGGAAACTCCCCAGATGCTCGGCCCCTTGGGGAGGCAGGGACAGAGCCCAACGGCACCTTTGGAGCTGGCACTGATGACTTTGAGCGCCAGGTCGTAGGAGTTGGCAGCCAGGACGAAGTCGGCCCGCTGGTAGTGGGCATTCCCACACTCCCGCTTGCGGTCAGCCAAGGCGGCTCGCTCTTGCCCGCTCAGCAGCTCCAGGTCAGGCCCGTCCGCGGCTGTCTGCAGAGCCACCTCAAGGCGGAGGGTTGAGTTGGGAGGGATGGTAGGACTCCTGCAGGGCAACAGGGGCCGGAAAATCCAGGCATCTGAGAGGGCACTTGATACAGCCTTCCCAGGGAGTCCCCTGACAGACTCCCCCAATGGGAACAAGAGAAGGACAGTCTTCCAGCTCCTGCCTAATTCCCAGATCTGACTCCAGGGGACTCGCTTTCCCTCCCCAGGCCTTGAAAAAGAGAGAATGAGACCAGGTCACTCTGTGGTCCCTTCCAGCTGGGACGCCGAGCAATTTCTGATCAAGACAGCGTTTGCTCGTCAGGCAGCTCGCCTACTAGAGAGAAAGTCCTTCCAGAGACTCTCATTGTGTGGCGAGGGACAGGCAGCATCCACTTTCCTCTATCACCCATATACTGAAAGGGAGAAAGGATAAGGGGAGCAGGAAGGGCGGAGCTCCCGGCCTCAGGGACACTTTGGTCAGGGATGGGATGAACAGTGACCCTGGTGATTCAGCTGCCCCAAAGTTGTCCAGAGACCTCCGGGAATCTCAGATTTCCAAGGAGGGCCTAGTAGGAAGCTCCCATCATGGGACAGGGAAAAGAGCCCTGGACAGGGAGGCACGATACTCAAGAGGTCCCCTGTCATTAATTCTCCATATGAACTGGACACTAGCCCTCTCTGGATTTTAGTTATCCAACCTGCTGAGTAAAGGGGCTGGACTAGATGTTTGTTAAGGATCTTCCCAGCTGTAAAATCCTGGGTTCTAAGGGCCCTCTCAGCCCTGACATTCTCTGTTCTAGGGGCCCTCCCACCTCTGACATCCTGTGTTCTGAGAGCCCTCCCAGCCCTCCCGGCCCTGACATCCTGTGCTCTAAGGGCCCTCCCAGCCCTGACGCTCTGGGTCCTGAGGGCCCTCCCAGCCCTGACGCTCTGTGTTCTTAGGGCCCTCCCGGCCCTGACGCCCTTGCGACTCTTAGGCTCCACACCGCTCTGCCTGCTGGGCGCCCGTCCGTGCCCCGCGCAGGTCACTGCTCAGGCCTCCTCTGCTCCGTCTCACCTGCCATGAGGCCCATAGCAGTATTTGGCATCTGCGATGATCAGGGCTGTTTCACCCACGTTCATGAGCTGCACACTCAGATCCAAAGCCTTCAGAAACAAAGAAGAAGCCGGACACATGAGAGTGAGTAACAAATAGGGGCGGGGAGGCAGACTAAGCGTCCACAGTGCCTGCTTTAGCCAGGCCCTGTGCTAAGCACTTCACAAACATTATCCCATCTGATCCTCACAACAACCATGGGAGAGGCAGGTGCTATTATTGTCTCCATTTTACAGTTAAGGACATTGAGGCAAATAGAGGTGAAGTGACTTGCCCAGGGTCACACTGGAAGTAAGCATCCAATCGCAGATTTGAGCTCCACCGTGTCACCAGCTGCCTCTAAGGGACGGCCCCACTCCCCAATCCCAGGCTTTGCTCTCTGTGACCAGGTCCTACGCATCATTGCCGCTCTCCCCTGCTTCACAGCACCTGGAGAAAGTCACAGTCCCCCAGGGTGAAGGTGAGGCGAGGGTGCTCCTCCACTTGTGTGCCATGGTCCTCAAGCGAGACCTTCAACTGCACCGTCACATCCTGGCCTTTGCTGGGCCGCTCGGCCCCGGGAGGGGCGGCCGCTAGAATCTTCTTTCTAAGCAGTCCGTTACCTAGGAGGGAGACAAAGGACAAGGTGACATCCTCAATTTTCAATTCAAGCCCGGGTGCTCCTTTGGTTGAGAGCCCGAGGGAGGCCCCCAGCACCGGGCGGATCTCTAGGGATGGACGCACAGAGAGGCTCAGACCAGAATCCCACAGGACAGGCTGTAAGCGATGCCACTGGAAGAAACACTCACCCCTCCGAGATCCTGAACCAACCAAGCCCTCATGTGTTAAACACCTACCATGTGTCAGGCACGGTGCTGAATGCTGGAGTGCTGCACTAGCATCTTTACAGCAAGTACAAAGGTGAGGTATGAAGCAATTACAATCTAGAACCACACCAGACGGAAGGGGATTTGGTCTCACATCTAACCCCAGCTACCCGGGCCATTCTGGACAAATCACTTTCGTTCTCTGAGTTTCGTTATTTTCATCAGTCAAATAGATGGGGAGCGGGGAGGACATTAGACCAGAAAGTCCACAAAGTGCCTTCACAACAAGAAAAAGTCCCTCTAGAAAATTATTCACATCAGTACTAGGTCTAACAGCAAAAAATTGGAAACAAACTCCACATGCAATAGCAGGAATGGCTGAACAAATGGTGGCAGGTGGATGTAATGGAACAGTATCCCATTATAAGGAATGCTAAGGACAGTGGGACTCCCCAACAGGCTGGGTTGGAAAGGACCTCAATCTGGTCAGACCCACCCTAAGCCAATCTCCTCGGCCAGAGAGTGGCCTGCCAGCCTGTGCTGGAGGGTCTCTTGGAAGGAGGACCCCACCACCTCTAGGGGCCAGCTTTGGTGCTGGGAAAGCTGGATGCCCTTCATGCAAACCGCCTCCAGCTGCTTCCAGGCCTGCCCACAGCAGATTCCTCCTGCCTTCAGCCTCCTGAACACAGCTCTCAGGCCTCGGCCAGTCTCCTCTTCTCCAGGTCAAACATCCCAAGTTCTTTTAACCAGTCCTGGATGCTCCTCTGGATTGCTGATACCCTTCACCCCGTGGAGTGCCCAGTCTGCCCAGGCTGGGTCCAGAGGGACCTTTGCCCCCTCGTCCTGGACACTAGGCTTCTCCTTCCAGAGTGTCAGACTGTGTGAGGCTCCCATTGTACACTGCTGACTCATGAAGAAGAAGCCTGTAAGCCACTAGAAGCCCAAGCTCTGCCTTAGCTAAGTGATCCAGCCAGGTTTCCCTCTACACTTGAGGTGACTTTCTTTTTTAAGCTCAATAATCACACTTTACATTTATTTCCCTTAAATCCCATCTTCTTGGCTTCAGCCCAACATCCCAGCCTGGCCAGACCTTTGGGGCGCCTGACTTTGCCCCTCTGGAAGTGGGCTATTCCCCTAGGCTCTGCAGCATGCCTATCAAACTCTCTGATGCCACCCAGGCCTCTGTCCAAGTACTGATTAAGAGAGCGCAGGGCTGGGCCGGGACCAGCTCCCAATGGCTCAAGAGTCAGTCATGAAATTTTCAGAATGAGCATTTGCACCGCAGAAGTCAGCACGCTCTACACATCAGGGCTTGACTGCCTTCTCACAAATGTTGTCTTGTTTGATCCTCCCAACAACCCTTGAGGGCAAGGACTGTTTCTTTTCTTATTGGTAACCCTAGCACCTAGCCTAGTGCCTGACACATAGTAGGTGCTTAATAAACTGGATTGATTTCTCTAAATTACTTGCATTTGTCATTTTACAGCAAAAGCATCCTCTACTATATTCACACACACAATCTGTCCAGCTGGAGTGTGACTCATGGCTGCATACTTGAGTTCCATTGACTACTTCATTATATACGGCAACTTTCTTTTTGATAATGACCTCCTTGTAGTATATGCCCACTAATGGCACAGATGGGCCAAAGGATAAGAACAGCCAACGACTCTTCTTATATAATTCGAAGTTATTTTATAGAAAAATTAGATCGGCACCAGCTCTAAGAGTATATTCATCTGCTTGTTCCCCCAAAGCCTCTCTAACATTGATTGGTGCCGTCTTTTTTTTATTAGAAAAAAATTCACGTTCTCCCCTTCCCATCTCACCCGACCCTGACCCTGTTACAAACATGTCAAATCAAGCAAAACAAACTTCCACACTGGCCATGTCAGTTCCTAGATTCATTCTCTTCTTCTGGGTTTATGTCCCTGTCACCGTGATAACTTTCTACGGCAGGATTGTTTTTTTGTTTGCTCATTCTTCCAGTCTGCTTCCTGACTTCAGACTTGAATTAGGGCCAGATTTTGTATACTTCTGGAGAGAATGTCTGGACTGGACCTACTGCTGCTGCTTTCTCGGAGTATTGAGTATCGTGATTCTAGGACATCAGCTTGGGCTCTCAAAGCAATGTGCTCCAAAGTCTGATCACTGTCCCCCTGGTCTGAGCTCCACAATTTCCTGACTTGGATTTGGGTCTGAGCAACCGGCTTATGGGTTTGCCTCTGGCTGAAGTTCCAGTAGACTGCTGCTGGGCTCAGTCACCGTCAGCCCAATGGTCTTTGGTCTGGGAAGACTGCCCTGGTTATTCTGTTGCAGGTTTCAGAGTGGACTGGATGTTAGAACTGAGACCTTGAACCCCTCCTGGGGTCAAAGTCAGATAGCTGCTGCTATTGCTTGCTTTTGAACTTGCTCCTCACTGGTACATAGCCTAGGACCCATGACCACTCCTCACCCTCAAATGCCACCCCTAGGCACAGGTCTCCTCCTCAGTCTGCTTTGGACCTATGACCCCAGAACTGGGCAATGAGTCACAGACATGTCAGTGTGCACCTATTCCTTCACCCTTCACAAGCTTAGGCCCCTCGGTGCTAGAATGGTCCACATGGCCATTCCTGGCTAGACTGTGTCCCTAGTGTCCTACGCCAACCTAGGCTAGAAAAATGGTTCACTGTGATTTTTTTTTCTCTTGGATTTCCTAATCATGACTGCACCAAGGCCTGGTGCATTTTCTAGAGAAAATGGGAAGAGGGGAAAGGGGTAGGGCTGGCTGAATGTCTTCCCATTACTCCACCATCTTGATTCTATCTCCCTATTGCAATCTTTGTTCATCTTTGCAAATCTGATGGGGTACGAGTAAAACCTCAGAGCTGTTTTATTTCGCATTTTTAAAATGACTGATGATCAGAAATAACTCAATCTTATGTGCCTGCGTAAATTTCCTATACATTTTGGACAGCATCAGACCTTTATTAGAGAAATTTGATGAGAATTTCCCCCCAAAATTGACTGTTTTCCTTTTTATTCTAGTTACATTGTGTGAAAAATTTTTTATATGATAGAAATTATATATTTTATCTTTTTATGATCAACTCTATCCCTTCTTTAGTTATAAGTTCTTCCCCTGGTCATAGCTGTAAAAGATTTCTTTTTTCCATTCTCCTCTAATTTGTTTATGATATATTTATATATAGACATTATACATCTATTTGGGGTATATGGAGTTAAAGTGCTAGTCTAAACTTCTTTTCTACCGAACTTTACCAGCAATACTTGTCAAAGAGCTTTCCTTTTCCTTTCCAGTTTAGGGCCCTTTTGATCAGAATTTTAAGACTTAAGATAAATGCCTTCTTGCCAGTCCTTCTTCTATCTATATTTTAAGCCACGGTCCAAAAATCCAAATCCTGTTCTCAGATAACACTTCCTTCACTTGCTCAACACTTTCCAAATCTGCCTTCCTCTTCTGAGCCCCTTGCCTTCCATGGGATGTGGTCCCAGGCGCTTCAGTTTCTCCTCTAAGATGACATACTTTTTAGCAACACTTCCTAAATTTCTCCTGGCATTGTCATTTGTGCCCATGGGAAAAACCAGAAGGGGGTAATCGTTGTCCGGCTAAAATCCCCACAAGCGGGACATGAACTCTGGCCACCAAATGAGGATCGGCAGAAAGTGGTGGGCAGCTAACCAAGCGGAACCAACAGAATAACACATGCAGTCGTCGCGGAAGCTCCAGCGACAAAAATGAATGCGACTTAAGGTGGCAAAAAAACCCCATCCTCAGATCGCCCCACAGACACCACACTGTTCAGAGCAGCAGCTTTTGATAACTATGGTAAAGAACCAAAAACAGAGTAAATGCTCCCTCGACTGTTAAATGACTGAATAGATGGATGTTCATGAAGGCAACAACAGAATATGACCAAGCAGTAAGACAAGGCAAATGTGAAAAATTCAGAGAAACAAGGGAAGACTTACACAGACTGACGCAGAATGAAGCAAGCAGAAGGAGAACATGGCGATAATGTAAACAGAAGCAACAATGAAATGAGATGCAATTTTCTGTAATTACAGTGGTCAAGATTGACCCTGGAGAAGAGTTGGGAAAATGCAATCTACTTCATTCCCTGCAAAGGTGGGGGACTATGGGTATAGAACAATCCAACTATGGCCGACTCAGTCCAAGCATTGGTTTGGCTTGGGGGTGGGGAACCTGCGGCCTCGAGGCCACATGTGGCCCTCTAGGTCCTCAAGTGTGGCCCTCTGACTGAATCCAAACCTCACAGAACAGATCCTAAAGGTTTGACTGAACTTCTTCTTTTCCTTTGAAAATGTTTATTATGAAGGAAGGCTTAGTAGGTAGGGCAATGGGAAAGAAAATATATTTGGAGATGGCTGTGATGTAAAAAACACAAGGTTTCAACAAAAACAAACAAAACACTGATCAAAAACAATGGACATTGTTGTTAGCAGTATATAAAGTACAGGCTCCTCCTTGCTTCTGACAAAAAGAAAAGACTGCAGGATAAGGCACCACCAGCCCCCATCACTCTTCCCTTTCTCAGGAGGTGATGAGTCATCCCTCACCTGGGATGCCTGAGCTCTGTGAGTGATCTGTCTTAGCATGTCATTTCTTCTGCTACCCCTCCACAGATCCTGCAGAGAGGCTGATGTTTAATGAGGCAATTGTTAACAGTTGCTCTGCTGGGTCTCTCAGATGCCTGGAAGCTGGTGCATGTGGGAGCATTTCTCCTTCTTTAATTTACTGCTGTTGCTAAGTTAAGGTAGCTTCTTGGATT